AGCCCTGCTCTGTTTGAAGGCAGTTTCGCTTCAGAGCTGCTCTCTGCCGAGCCCCAATACTTTGACACCTAGCCACCCACCTACCAAGGATCACCATCAAATTGTTGTTGGAGAAGTTAGACAGCAATTCTTGCTGGAGAAGATGGACAGCAACCACCCGGCCAACTTACAGTCCCCAGCAGGGGATATCATCCCTCCTGCGGGTTGGAGCAGGGGACTTTATTCCTGATTGCGGTCTCGACAATAAGGATTTCTCAGCACTGCGAGGCAGGACGTCAGCCTCCAGAGTTTTACAGGTGACCTGCTGTAACTATCCCATCTGTCTGCCCTGTCCCATTTCAGGCAACCGCTACACTGGTGTTATCTTTAAAGCTATGTCATTCGGTTTAAAGTTGATAGCAGTTTAGCTTCACTGTGCCAGTATGGGAGTGGGTGGGAAAAGCAGAACCCCCCCCCCCAGCACCACCACTTTTGAAATGGTTTAAAGTTACTCCTGTCCGCTGTCACCTGCAGGGTGAACTCCACGGAAGAGCAATGCTTTCCTATAAACCAGACCCTTTCACCCCCTAGCAAAGGCAGGGTTTCTAAGAGCACCTGTAAATTAAGATGGCATATTCTCCTCTTGTCGGTTTTCAAGCACCCTTAGGGACCACAGGGAAGCAAAGAAATGGGTTGCAATCACCTAAGTGCAAATAACGCCATGGATGAGCCAGCCAATATGGCTTCAGACATGTTCGCCTGCACCATACGGGCTCGTTAGTGCCATTAAGCTAATTACCGAGAGACAGCCACTCTGTTTGTGCCCTGGGTCGTGGAGTGGCTGTCTTGATGCGTCTCTTACCTTTGCTTGCAAGGGTGGCGGCTGCGGTGCCAGGACTGGATCGGTGATGTAGGTCTTCTTCGTGCCGGGCGGCTGGTACATCCCCGCGGGGGTCTGGGCCATGGTGTTGGCTGCAGGATACGCCGGCTCGGGTTTCCAGGTGTTTTGGGGAGCATAGGGCGGCTCGGAGCTGTTTCTTCCTCCGTAGGCAGGGCCCCCGGCATAGTAAGGGTCTTGGTAACGCCCCTGGGGTGCCGCGTAGCCGTAGCCAGACTCTGACGGGCGCGCGAGCTGGGGTGCGTATCCGTACTCCGGGCCCCGGGGCTGGGATGGAGCGTACTGGGCTGGCCCGGGGGGGCGAGTCGGCTGCGGTCCATAGGGCTGGTTTGGACCGAGGCTGGTGTACGGACCGGGCTGAGGGCCGGACGGCTGGAAGTGAGGGCTGGGCTGAGCCATTTTCACCTGCACGTTGAATGCCGGCCGGCTGGGAGTGGACGCGGTGGTATAAGAAGCTGGGACTGGTTGAGGCTTCAGCGTGCCCACTGGAGTGACTGGGATGGGGGACGGCTGAGCTGGGACCTTGCTGGTGGATTTCTTGGTGGCGGTGAGAGGAGGCTGGTTTGGAATAATCATCCGCTTGTGCCCGGTGACAGGAGTGGAGCCTGGGCCGGCGGTCACGGAGGAACCGGGGGGCATCCCAGAGCCCTGTGGAGCAACCAAAGGGAGAGACCTCAGTACCGGCAGGCAGGCATCGTCGCGACGCGAACACGAGGGTTAACTGGAAATGGGATTTTACAGCAGCATCTGCACAATGACTGAAACTGCTTAGTGAGGCAGGAATGTACCCGAGACCACACATTAGAAAGCGGTAATAGCAACCTTCCCGGCTCTGACAGAACAGGGACAAAGCCGGTGCAATGCAACAGAACTGCCACGCAGGATAGTTCACCTTTTCTCTGCAATTTTTCCACTATAAAAAGCTGCCTGAAAGGGAACAAAAAAAGAAGGCATTTTTGGACAGTAATGAGGGGGAAGCCGATGAGCACTAAACATAAAGGATCGCCCTAAAATAAGAGGGAGAAAGCAGGATGAGAGTCAGTTGTGGCATGCAGATCCCTGAACGTGTCCACACATTACTGCCCACCGATAAGGACTCGCGTTTCAACACACAGAAGGCCGTATGGAGAGATGGTTTGAAAGCGGCTCCCAAGGCAATATAATGTTACCCGAGTTCAGGTGCCAAAGCAAAACATAAAGTGATGCCAATATACAAATATAGAGCCTGCTCTCAACTAGGCTGCTGCAAAGCCGGGGGGATTCTGGAGAGGTTAAAATGCGTGACGCTGGAGCGCAAGAGCGCAAACCCAGCCAGCGGACCTGAAAGCTTGAAATATCAGCTCCCCGAAACCTACTGTGATCCAACACAGAGGGAACAGGAAACACAGACTCAAATCCCAGCCTCTGCCGTGGCCCTGGGCCTCAGCGGACAAATGGAGAATTAGTAAAATGATGACTACGCCTGAGCTGAGCAATAGACAGGAAGGATTTTAGGTCTTAACAGGCTCACATGCTGCTTTTGTTAGGACCTATTTACTTCCAGTGCCTGATGAACGCTGGGTAGGAAGGACCTCTTGGCCAATAATCCAACCCAAAAGCGTGACCACGTTTCTAAACGTACAGCAAAGATCATCTGTGGGTCTTCCCACCAAACCAAAGGAGAACATGTTGCAATGTCTAGGGTTTAAAAACCAGTAGGATCCCCTTCCCCTTTCATTTTTCCCTCTAAAAAAGATCCGTCCACCCACCCACCCACCTACACATCCATCCACCCACCCACCCACCTGCCTACCTACAAATACATACATGCATGCATGCATGCATCCACCCACCCACACATCCATCCACCTGCCTGCCTACACATACATACATGCATGCATGCATCCACCCCCCCACCCATCCATCCTTCCATCCATCCACCTACCTACCTACCTGCCAACACATACATACATGCATGCATCCACCCCCCCACCCATCCATCCTTCCATCCATCCACCTACCTACCTACCTGCCAACACATACATACATGCATGCATCCACCCCCCCACCCATCCATCCTTCCATCCATCCACCTACCTACCTACCTGCCAACACATACATACATGCATGCATCCACCCCCCCACCCATCCATCCTTCCATCCATCCACCTGCCTACCTACCTGCCTACACAAACATACATGCATGCATCCACCCACCCACCCATCCATCCTTCCATCCATCCACCTGCCTACCTACCTGCCTACACATACATACATGCATGCATGCATGCATCCACCCACCCACCCATCCATCCATCCACCTGCCTACCTACCTGCCAACACATACATACATGCATGCATGCATCCATCCACCCACCCACCCATCCATCCACCTACCTACCTACCTGCCTACACATACATACATGCATGCATCCATTCATCCACTCACCCACCCATCCGCCTACCTACCTACACGTACATACATACATCCATCTATCCACCCATCCATCCATCCACCTGCCTACCTTCCTACACATCCATCCATCCATCCATCCATCCATCCATCCAAATGTAAAAAAGCAGCTTTTAAAACATTGTTCTTGCTGTTTCCCCTTAAGTTGGAGTGAAAGGTTGTACACATCTTTTCTTTAAAGCCCTCGTACTGGAATGAGTATTGCCAAGACCCCTTCTTAACAACTGATGAAGTAAGCTGATGCTTATGAAAGCTAATGCATCTCTGACATAGTCAGTTCATAAGGTGCAAATCTACTCTGTGTTCAGCACTATAATCTCAATCTAAGCGTCGATATCCTTCTCTAACTATACCATCTATAGCATCTATACAGTTCTATAATCGAAGAGTTAATTTCTGCCTTTGGTGCAGACACGTGCAGCTCTCGCTGAAGATACAGGATACCAAACTGAGCTCTCTCAACCCCCAACCATAGGCTTGTTTCTAGACATTACTAATCTTGCACGGGTTAGCGCTAGAACCAGGAAAGCAGTAGAGAGAGAGATTGCACCGCTCATAGACGTCTACTGATTCAGCTGCTCAACCTCGCATCTGCAACCCACCAATAAAAGTCAATCAGAAAGAAATAATTAAATCTCAAATTTAATCCTCGTCAAGCAGAGAAATAATTAATATTAACTCGCGCGGGCACTCACGTGAGGGAATGCGTAAGCTGTGCTACAGCATTTTCACACTTCACAGTGGTGGCAGCAGCTCTAGAGCAAACCCCCACTGGGGATGGAGAAAAAGGGAGGGAGAACAGGGCACAAGCCTGGATCAAAAGGCGCAAGAAAGACCCTTTAACTCTTAATGCTGCAAGGAGACACATGAGACGACATTCAAGGGTTTGCTATTGCTTCCAAATGCACCCGAAATTTGGTTGCAATCCTGCAAGAGACCCTCTAACGCAGCCACGGGATGCCTGGGAACAGCAAGAAGGCAAAGGGACTGAGAAGAGGCGTACGGACTTAGGGACTGAAGATCAGCGGTTCTCAACATTTCTAGTCTCAAAGCACCTCTCACGGGAATCAAGACTCCCCTTGCTTGAATCATAATTGTTGTGTTGAGCGGCACCCTGGTTGAGAATCACTGGACTAGATGTATGGCGGAGGGACACACCGGGGAGGGGGTATTGCCAGAAGCCTGCCCCCCTAACACGTGATGAGAAAGCTTGCTCGTTTATCTGAGCCACCGCACCAAGCAAGCACAAAATATATGCCGCGAGCACTAGCAACCTTCCTATTTCCCTGCATATCCTGTCCCTGCAAATGACAGTACTTTGCCTATTTACCGTAATGGGATGAAAGGCCCAAATGGTGGGAGCGTGTAATTACCACCGAGAAAGCACTTCTTTGCTGTGTGGGGCTGCGAGAAGATGGATAATGTTTTAATGGCAATGGGCTATTAGTGGGTGGGGAAGGAAAGGAAGCGGGGAAGGGGGTTGAAGTCACCAGTCCTGTACCCAGCTTGCGATTGAAAAGCAGGTTGCTAAAGAAGGCACCGAGGGCCTGCTGCTATAATCCACGCATCTGGAGTCGCTGCAAGACCTCGGCAGTTTTTATTGAGATTGAATCGAATTGGTCACAGGTGCCTGCAGGACAGAGAGCGGACCACCTGGAGGGTTAGAGAGACCACCATGCCTCCCCAGAGAGGAAATGCAGCCTGCAGAGGGTGCAGAAGGGGTCCCGCGGGCGCAGGGCCGGCCGATGCCTCCTTGTACCCACTTGGCCTGGGCGTAATGAGAACGGCTGGAGACCCGAGGTCACCCGCCAACTCGCTGCGTGACCTTGGCATGTCACCGGAGGCTGCATCACGGCCACCAAACCACAGCCTGCCTTGAAGCAGAGGAAGTGTGCATCAGCAGGAGTCCCCAGAAGCATAACGCATGGCCGGCTCTGGGCTCCCCTGGGAGCGCAGGGGAAGCACGCGATACACAAAAACAAGGTGGAGGACCCGAGGCTTGTCAACAGGGCCTGGCGGGGGGGAGAAAGGGCAGCGCTCCTGCTTTTGGGAGTGCAATGATTAGGGTTGTGTCTGGTCCCTGTGCATGCAGATGGGAAAGAGACGGTTCTCTGCGTTTTCCCACCTTGACTATGGTCTGTGCCACGGTTTGATGCTCAGCATCTCAGGCTGCAGATGTCCTTCAACCCTAACAATTTGGAGAGGGGAAACCCAAGCAGATGCCTGCTCTAAGAGCCTCCAGGAGATTTCGAGGGAGTTAAAAGATGAGAGAACAGTGCTCAGATGCCACCGGGCTGCGTGATAAGGCCAATATCTGTAGGCAGGTGGGAGAGGTAGGATGGATTAGGGTATAAATGAGCTAGGGAGCAAAGTGGCTTAGTGCACCGAAGGGAACCCATACCCGGGCACACTTAAGCAGCAGTCCGGAGGAAGGCAGGGAAGAACGAGTGCAAAATGGGGGCAGAAACGCAAAAGAGAAGAGCTATGGGGAGGTCCTTTCTCCAGAAAGAAAGCACGTCATGGTTGCAAATGATTTATTCCAACACAGCACGTGCGGCAGCATCTCTTAGGGTTGTTTCCATACTAAGACAGGGTATTTGGTTGTTCACCATGCATGTAGTGGGAGGAACCATGTCGCACACTTTGCAAGTGTAAATGAGGACCGTGCTGGTTACCACCAGCTCTTTTCTTGCAAATTCATATTTGCAAAGAGAGAATAAACTGGAAACCCCAGGTGCCGATAGTGCAGAACTTCATCTACCGTAAAAAAAATATTACGCAAAAAGGGTTTTACTTTTCTGGAGAAAGCACATGAGAGCCAGGTTTAAACACAGATGGAAGTGCCGAAAAGCATTTTCTCTTCTATAAATGAATTGATCTAGCAGTTCAAACAAAGGTGAAATAATAACAAAACCAAGCCTGCATCTAAGCATAGGGCACGGTGGGGTGGGGGGAAATGACTTGAAACACTGCATGCTCTCATTGGCTCCTGCTTGAAATAATTCTCCTGTCTCTTTAAACGGTGTGCAAGTCTGTCGATTGCTGCTTGCACAATCCTTCTGCCCACGGTAACCCCGTATTCGGGTTTGACTCCTATGTCCGGGTGCAGCGCGGCTGTTTCAACGGGGCTTGTGACCTAACTTGACCGGTTGGGGTTGGGGCTGCATAGTTCACGAACCGCTGCACCACGAGTTTC